TTTCACAAAAATAGCATATTTTTGCATACGGTAGTCATTTTCACCATGAAGACAAGTCCAGAGGTCAAATTTTTTTTTTTCAAATTAAAGTATATTACATTAGCTTTAATTTAAGGTATATATAAAATTGTCAGTCTTTCCGGAACATTTTCAAAAGTTAAGTTGAAAAAGTTAATTTTTTGTAAAAAAGTTACCATTTTGAAACCCCATCCTTTGGGCTGTTAAAGGGTCAAATGTTCACAAAAATATATAAAATGATAGGTAATTATCTAAGGTATCTATAAAAAAAAAAATTATATTGATTCGGTCATTTTTAAAAAAGTTATGGCAATTTTAAGTAAAAAAAATTGAAAAAATATCGAAAATTAGCGATTTTTAAATTTGTAATTTTTTGGGGGATTTCCCCCGTTTACGGGGAACGAGGGAATTTTTTTCAATTTTTGAGGGTAATGTCTTCGACTAGATACGATTTGTGATCTTTTGACATATTGTTCATCAAAATCGGTCCAGCGAGAGCTGAGATTGAGCGTTCACAGACACAAAAAAAAAAATAAAAAAAAAAACACATCATAGTAAAATTAATACCTTCTCAGCTTCGCATCGAAGCTAAAAGGGAATGTGCGACTGAATTATTAAGGACCATTTAATTGAGTTATAACTGAATTTTAATGTTCAAAATGGTTTTGATTCACCCCGAAATTAACACCACTTAAACAATAACACCGCATTACCAATTGCTGAGCAGTTATACTTAATTATGTGATGTTCATCAATAACTTATATAATGAACGTAGCATCTGTTAAATAATACTAATAATAAGTCAATTTTGTACGTCACAATCTCTATCAACCAGAGTTTTCCATCACTATGGAAAAACAGCTACGTATATCTTATATTTAAATCTGACTCTCGGTCTGATGTTAAAAATTATCGACCTATCTTTCAATGAAGTATTTCGATGATGATTGATGGTTTCATCTGGTGTTCTACAAAGGGATCACTTATCCCTATACTGTTCATTATTTTCATGAATAATCTTAATGTAATTCAGTTTTCCAATTGTTTTTTATTCGCATATGATGTAAAGCTATATTATGAAATTAAGACTCGGAGTAATTTAGTTACTGGTGTGAACTGAATGATTTGTGTATTAATCCCAAAAAATGTACCCAGATAACTTTTACTTGTAAATCTACAATTAAATTTAATTATAATATATCTCGCGTTAATCTAATGATATCTCATCATGTTAAAGATCTTGGCATTACTCTATCATCTGACTTATCATTTACTGAACATATTACACAAATATATAATAAGGTTCTACGTACTTTCGGTTTTCTCAAAAGAAACTGTGGGGTATTTTCAAACCCGACTTGTTTTAAAACCTTATATATTACTTTATTAAGATTAATTTTAGAATAAAGATCAATAATATGTCTCCTCATTAAATGGAGTTTTAAAGGGAAAATTGAAAGCTTGAAAACACGATTTTTAGTCTATAAAACCAAGAGAGTAGGGAAGACTTGAACAATATTGCATCTGATAACAATTTAAAAATCCTGTTTGATTGCCGGAAAGCTGCTAATATTTTATGGGTCTACAAATTGATTAATACCTTAGTGGATTGTCCTGAATTTTTATCTGGAATTCCTTTCAATTTTCCTGCTGTTTCTTTAAAATTAACTCCAACATTTTATGTTCCAATAAATCGCTAAAATTATAGTATAAATTCTCCGGTAGATCGCCTTATAAATGAAAGTAATGAATTATGCATATTGCATAATATTGATTTTTTCTATATTAGTTTAGCCAGGTCAACAGTTTGTTTAAATGTAAATTGATTTTTGTTACATAAATGTATTATTTAAAGAAACTTGTTTTTCTTTTTTGTACGTATATAATAAAATATTTTTACGTTGTACCCGTTTGCCCACATTGAGCGTTATCCTTATAATAAATAAATAAAAATAATGTAAGTTAAGCGTCTGTATATGATTATTATAAAATTAAAAAACGGTAGCACAGTGGGGTCGCGGCATAGTGGAGACATTGCATAGTAGGGTCCAGTATAGATTTAATCTGACAGTGATTAAAATCACTATCATAAGAAACGCTTCGATGCAAATCTGTAGATAGTGTTTAATTTTAAAAAATTGATGGATAATTGCAAAAGCAACATCAACTTCTATTAAAATAAAATACAAAACCCATAATTATCATACAAAAATAGTATATTTTTCAATATGGTA